GAAAAGCGACAAGCTGAACTCGCCATAGTAGACACAAACTTGGTTTGTGTCCTGCGGGGCAAGACCACTGTCCCCCTGGGGGTTCTCTTCCTGCTGGACAGAAGAGAAGTCATCATGTGGCTTCAGGTTTACAGAACTGCAAAATGCTTGCGCTTAGACCAGTCGGGTACATGAACGCGCTTTTGCAAATGCTGCAGCGTGCAGCCCCCTTCTGGCCTTACTTCTGGTTTTTGGATCACTGTTCTTCCCAAGATGTGATGCATGCTATGTATTTATTTGTACTTTTTGCCTGTTGTCTCATCTAGCATTGGACTCCAGGAGGGCACGGATGTGAGATGTCTTGGTCCCTGCTGCTTCCCAGGCAATCTGGTCAACATCCAGCATGGGGAAAGTGGTGGACAAATATCTACGCAATGACCAGGTATGTTAGGCTGGGGGATGACTCCAGTCCTGTCCCCATGGAGCTCACCATCTATGAGGGAGACATGCAGGGAAACAGACAGTTATCACACCAAGTTTTAAAAGGGTCGTATTGTAGAAGGCTCAGGGGCCGTGTACACCTGGGGAAGGCTTTCTGGAAGAAGAAACTAAGGAGAGGAACTGGGTGAGAGGAGTTTCAGAGGGTGAGGGCTGCTAAGAGCATGGTGCATTCTGGGAGGAGGAGGGAATTCAACATGGCGGACAGGATGGGGCTGGAAAGGTAGGCGGAGACTAGGCCTTGAGGGTTTGAGGGTCTGGTGGGCTTTGCAAAGGGGTTTGGGTTTTATGCAATGACCTCTCATGGCAGTTCCAGCACAGCCTTAGCACCCACGACTGGTATCCGGCCTGAGAAGCAAGTCTCCAAATTCACAAGGACGTAAATGTTCACAGCAGGAAGATTTTTCCATCACATTTAAATGCTGAAGAATAAATATTTTTCAGAAGTCTCATCATCTGCTCACTATGCCCTTCTGGTCAATCTGCCCTTGGTGGAGGGGGCAGGGGTGGGTCTTCAGAAGCCGCAGTCATCAACTCAGAATGTTGGGTGTCACCCCCAGCCCTTCTTCCTGTACCCACATCTTCCTTTCATCTCATCGCTTTTTTTCCCATCAATCAGGAAATCACATGACTGAAGGCCAGACCGGACTGATGAGAAGGAGGGTCTGTGTGGCGACCAAGAGCAGGGCTGTGCGCTTTTCATCACCGAGGCCAGAGTCTGTGGCAGCAGCCCTGCCCCGAGTTCGCATGTGACACGGCCCTTGGTGGCTTCAACAGAGGGCTGAAAGGCACAAAACCACCAGACCAATATCAGTCTCTTGGGAGAGAGCTGTGACATCCCTTAAGAGGTCACGGATTTAAAGGCCACCAGCTGGCTGCCCCACGCTGCTGGGCAGCATCACTAGCCCACGTCGTGAGAGCAGATCCCCGCTGATACCTGCTTTGGGACGCTGCACTGGGCTGCCACATGAGAAACAGCACATCCTGGAAGGTCTCTCTGGTTCGAGCCGGGATCCAGGGCTGCAAGCCCCGCTGCTTCCAGTGTCTGTGCCGCAGCTGTTCGCTGGGCACGTGTACTGGCCACCTGGCGGAGGTGGGTTCCAACTGACAGTTACTCCCAAGCCGCCTAGGTGTCAACCTAACTGAGTTAGCTTTCTGGGAGGACGCAGGCAGGAAGCGCCGCGCGCCCGGAAGCGCCATCCCCCTGGAAGGACCACGCACACAGCTGTTCTGCCCCTGCACTCGCGGGTGGGCACAGACGGCTGCGAGAGCTGAAAGCCAAGGTGTATGTAGGTCACCTTGACACACGGATGGCGAGACGGGTCTCCTACTGACGTTTCACATCAGCGTCACTGCCCGCCAACTTACGGCTCCCTGAGTCTAGGCCACCCCGTGGGCGGGGGTCTCACTGCAAACAGGATTCTTTTTACTCTGTATGCAGAACTTGGTCTCTGAGGTCGCTTCCCCAGGAAGCACGTCTCCCCCTGCTGGCAACCCATGGCATGTCTTGTTGGACGTGGGGTCAGCGGTGCGGAGGATGGCTTGCCTGTTCCTCTGAGGGCCTTCCAGGTCCCCAAGGTGACCCTCGTGTGTAATGCAGAGCCCGGATTTAAGGCAGGCCTGTTCCACGTGACTTTTCACGTTTGCTCCTTGCCCAGCTACTGCCTCAGGATACAGGGACAAAGAGGGTCCTCTCTGTACCAGAGAGAGGTACGGATTGCTCACAAAGATTTCTCTAGCAGGCGGTGATGCCAGGCCACAGTGTACAAGCTGAAAATGCTCCCAAACCAAACAACTGTATCGCATCTACTGAAGACTCCCCTGGTATATCTTACGTGGATTATCTAATACAATTTTCACAGTAACTCTGTGAAGACAGGAGTCTTACCATTTCACAGATGAGGAAACTGAGGTTCAGAGAAGCTAGGCCACTCGTCCAAGGTTGTCTGGCTGGTCTGGGGGGAAGAGCCAGGATCAGAACCTGGGTCTGCCCAGCCCGAGTTTGTGCTCCTAACCAGGAATGGCGTGTCCCAGCCCCGCTCCCCACAGTGGTGGCTGGACCAGCGGTACCAGGGTCACCTGGTGGCTCGCTAAGGTCCAGGAGGACTGGAGTCAGAATCTGCATGTTGGCAAAATCCCAGGCGACTTGTGTACACAGTACTTTGAGAACCGAGGGGGCCACGTTTGTTGGTTTTAGCAAATCTTTTCCGTGCAGGCTTGAACAACCAAGTCCCCACCCTGGGGCCGTATATTCTCTGGAAATGTTAGAATGTGCAAAATAAATAGATAAGTAAACAAACAGACAGACAACTCCAAAGGTCTATCTAGATTACTTCCCTAGCAGAACATCTCGATGTTTTCATGATTCTGAAATATTGCTGCCAAACAAGCTCTTAGAGGTTCAAGCAAAGCTATAAAAACAGGGTGAGAAGGGTGAATTTTGACTCCGAGAAGTGAAAATCTGACGATGCTTTGAATTATAGCCGATCAAGATTAATTCCAGGCCCCACTTAGAGGAAGCTTTCAGGCGGAGTGCTTTCTCGCCCTAATGTGCCAGGTGAAAGGAGCGATGACTCTATTGCTTGGTGCCACTTACATTTATGGGCTTGTCCCCACACGGGCTGGGAAAACGTCAGTTAGGGCTGACACGGGGCCAGCTGGGGGCTCGGTCTCGTGGGGCTCTGTTTTGAGGACTCATTATTCACATATCCTGTTGTGATTTGTGACTCTGTTTAATTACGGCAATTTTATCAGGGAGGGTTTTGTGTCGGAACCTCGGGAAATGGGAAGAGCTCAAAGGCTATACAACTTGAACCGCTCACCGTGCACAAACCACTGGGGTCTTGTCAAGGAGCAGAATCCTCGTCAGGCCTGGGGCTGGGGCTGCTGCCACCGGTGGCCGGGGAAACTTGCCGCGGGAAAGCGTGGAGAGGGTGGGCTCCGAGCCCAACGCTGCCACTTGGCAGCTCTGTGATGTCGGGAAGGTGCCACCTTAACTGCTCTGAACTCCAGACTTCTCATGTCAAGTGGGGATCACTCCTGCCCTCTAGGGTCTTTGTAAGGCTTAGAGACGATGCGTGTGAATCTCCTTCCCACTCCCAGAGGGGAGGGTGAGACTGATTCATTGCACGTTCAGCTGAGATCTGTCTTTTTTTCCTAAACAAGCTAACATTCTCCCTGATCCAGATCTCTGGCCCTCAGCGCTGCCGCCCTGGGGGCCGTCCTGTGCATTACAGGACGTTAGCACCATCCCTGACTGGTAGCACCTACCTCCCCGAGTTGTGACCAACAAAACCTTTGCAAACACTGCCAAGGGCCCCTGGAGGTAACAATGTCTGCAACTGGGAAACCCTCTCCCCAGCCACAGTTCCTATTAATTGTTCATTCGACAGTTTGTGTTGAGTACCTACTTTGGGCCAGACTGTGTGCCAGAAATATGTGGATATTTAAGCCAGACAGGGCCCTGACCTGTGGACATTTTTTCTGTTTAGAACCGATGTCTTCTCAGCTGTTTGGTGGATGTAACCAGACTACTAATGTCACGTCCCGGCTGGGAGGATGAGGTGAGTTAATCTGGTGTCCGAATGGAGGCGGAGAGATGCCAGGAGCAATCTGGGCTGTGGGGCAGGCAGGGAGGCGTACATGCTGGGCCCGGGGTCCAGGCCTGCAGGAGCAGCAATATGGGAACGGGATGTGCAGGGAGGGCCCAGGCAGCAGAAAGTGGGACCGGACCGGAAGGAGGAGGAGGGGGAGATGGTGGGAAAGGTCTTAAACCAACAGGAAGGGGTGGAGACAGGAGGGCCAAAGAGCAAAACATAAAAAATCAGATGGAGATGTGCTCCTGTGATACAAGCCGAGCAGGGAGCCCCAGGGCAGGAGGGGAAGGAGCCAGGCTGTGGGAGGGAAGGCTGTGATGCAGATCATGGCACGGACCCCGGGGCAGCCACACAGGGTGGGGAAGAGTGGCTCTTCCTGTTCTGGGCTCCCACGATTTTGGTTACAAAGAGTTAAAACAGAAAATAAAGGTCACTTGGCCAGCTCCTGCCGCCTCCTCTGAATGGGCCTCCCCAGAGGGACAGGAACGGATCACAGGCAGCCTTCGAAGGAAATGAGGCTGCTTTGCCTCACTCTGCGTGGTGTTATTGCCGCCGGTGTGGCGTGGACATTAAACACATCTGTGGGCAGGTGACAGAGGGGGGCACTAAATGCCCCGGGCTGGGCCCTGGGTCCCCTGCCCCCCAGGAGCCCTCCAAGTAGTCCACTCAAGTGGAATCAAGTTGCAAATGTTGATTCCAAGCCAGCTCGCAGCTCTCGACACGGCCCTGGAGTGCGCATGACGAGCTGGCCGCACGGAAAACAAGGGCAACAACACGACTTCCAGCCCAGAGCAAGAACGCTCTCCGGCTGCTGCTGGGAGGCAGCAACGGCCCCCAGAAAACAGTCTTGAGGCCTGTAACGTACACGTGCCACATTTTAAAAATGATAAAATCTCAAGCACATCACTTTGTGAGCTTTTGATTTTATTAGAGATGTACTCTAAGAACAGTCGAGAAGCCGTGCTTGGGATGCAGTGGGTCACATCACCGGTTCCACAAAGATCTTCCAGAGCTCCTGCAGCAAACAGAGAAAGCGGGGGTTCCTGAGGGGTGCAAAGGAGACCTCGCGATGTCAGAGAGGCAAGTGATTCACCACGGAGGACAGCGCACAGCACACGAGCTGCCCCAAGGGTGGGGAGCGCCTCCTGATTCTGTCGCTCTGCCTCGCCACGGGAGAGAGAGGAGCTGGACGGACGAGAGGACGTCACACAATCAAGATGGGCCAGAAGAGGGTCAGCCAGCCACCGCTTTCCCGTTTGGGGAGCTCTTAAGTGCCATGCCCCGTGGCCGCTGACTTTCCGGGCCGCGTGCCTCTCCTCCTACCGCGGGCAGGCGGAGAAGGTGCAAGCACACACAGCTCCCGGTGGAAACCCGGCGTCCTCGCGGGCAGAGGACGGTTGGCCGTCTGTGGGGGGCGGCCCGGAGGCAGCGGAGCCAGAAACCCAAGGTGGCTCCTCACGTGCGGCAACCACACGGATTCAGCGCTGTGCTTGCTGGGCGGGCTCCCTGTTGGCCCTCCTCCCTCCCGTCCTCCTCAGAACTACACCTGGTCTCCACGCACCCGGAAAAGGGGCACCCACAGCCAACACGCAAGGAGAACAAAAGACATTAATCCCGGACCTTTGGACTGCAGCTCCCAGTTACGTAAGTGATTATTATCAAGGGTAATTTTGACTTCTCAGATTTCCTCCATGAGGGGGGTTTAAAGCTGTAACAGGAAGTGGCTGGGCCCCAGCTCTGTGGCTGCCTGGCGGGGTGACTTACCTGGGCTCGGCATCAACTGAGGCCAGGGAAGAAGGAGCTCGGCCCGGTACCCGGCCCGTGTACCGCTACTGGGAGGCTTCCTCAGAGGCCTAGTCTGATGGACCCAGCGGGCCTGGTCGGAAGGGCCACTGGCAATTAGACAAGCCTGCCCAGTCTGGGAGGCCAGCCCATGTCCATGGCAAAAGTGTGGCCTCCAGCACTGGGGCTCCTGCATGAGAACCCCACCACGTGCCCCCCGGCGGACTTCCTGCATCCCAGCGGCCTCCTGTGCTTGGCCCACTTCCTCTGCAGCAGGAACTGCCCGCAGGGAAAGAGCGCCCTGTAAGTCCAGGGCGACAGACGGCCCGCAGGCCCATGTGCAGACACGGTGGCCCCTCAGGATGGGGAGACCCCAGCGCCGTCTTTGGTGCTAGCCGCCCCTCTGCCCCGGCAGCACCGGGGTGCGGCGCCCGCGTGTGGGGGCCCTGGGTCCGCAGCGTCGCGCACGGCAGTGACAGCCCGCACCTACCAGCTGCTGGATGCGCTCGTAAACCAGGAGCTGCGGGAAGGAGGCCTCCACCCGCTCCACCGCGAAGCGCAGCCGGCCGTCCGCGAGCCCCTCCAGCCGCCGCAGCCAGGAGCGGAAGTGGTCGTACGCCTCGCATGTGACGTCCAGGTGTCTGAGTGTGAAGTTCAGCCTGCAAACGGGCAGGCAACACACACTCACCTCGCCTTCCCGCCGCCTCCCTGACCGCACTCCCCACCGGTGGATCTTCACCGCGCGCCTACTGGTGCTGAGCACTGGGCGCGCTTCCTTCCCGAATCTGCAGGGGAGCCCGGGAGGTGGTTCTTCACAGACGCGGGAACCGGGGCTCAGGGAAGTGGAGTCAGGTGCCTGAGATACCACCGCCGGACAGACAGGCCCCGCCCTGGACTCTTCAAACTGGAGCAGGAGGCAGACACAGAACACCGCGGGCTGGCTTCCCCACTTCCCCAGCACAGAATCTGCGCGTGGGGTGCCCCCGGCTGCATATGTGACCAAAGGACGAAGGGCAGGGGCCTCAGAGCAGTGGGCGCCGAAGGCTGCCGGGAGGGGGTGGGCCAGGGCCACTTCAAATGGGTCCTTCCAGAGCCCTCCCGGCCCAGCTGCTCGGCCATTTCTCCACCCCAACCTGCAACACGATGCAACCTGAAACTCAAATTCTTTGCCTCTTTCCCTTTGCTTCCCCACATCTTTTACTAAGAAGAATTTCCAACAGTGTGATGGACGGCCCCACTTGCACCACCACCAGCTCATAGCCGCTGAGGCCCCTCGCACACCCAGAATGGATTATTAAATAGCTAAGGCCAGCCACCACAGCATTTCTCCCGCGAAGATGGACACAAGCATCTCAAAAACATAAAGCCTCTTCTGTTTCTTTGTTTCACCTAAAACAAATCTAATGATAATTCTTTATCATTCCAACATTCAGTTGGGGTTCAACTTTTCCTGACGGTCTCGCGTTCTCCCTGGGTGGTCTATAAAACCAATCTCCAAATGAGATCCACATGCTGTCAGTGGTCACGTGTGCCTCAAAGGGGCTCCTTGACATTTTAGAAATGAACGATATGCCCAGATGGATGGTGTGGACACAGCCATGGTCATTTCCATAGGGCGGATTTCTAGATGCTGGACTGCTGGCTCACTAAGTACGTTTGGTTTCACGGCTTTTTTTTTCTTTTTAAGATTTTATTTTTAGGCAATCTCTGCACCCAACATGGAGCTCGAACTCACAACCCTGAGATCAAGAGTGGCAGGCTCCACTGACTGAGCCAGCCAGGCACCCAGGTTTTATGGCTTTTGCTACATATCCTGAATTGCCTTCAGAAAAGTTGTGGGCTAGGGGCCCCTGGGTGGCTCAGCTGGTTGCGTGTCCAACTTCGGCTCAGGTCATGATCTCACGGTTCGTGAGTTCAAGCCCCACATCGGGCTGGTGGCTGTCAGCACAGAGCCTGCTTCTGACCCTCTGTCCCTCACTCTCTGCCCCTCGCCCGCTTGCGCTCTGTCAAAAATAAATACACATTAAAAAAAAAAAAAAGGACAAGTTATGGTCTACCACATGATCGGAGAAAACCGTGTGAAAGGTGTCTGCTTCTACCATGAAATGCCACTCCCTCAGCGGGAGCCCCAGGGCTTCCAGGTGGAGGGGTCCGTCTGCATCGGGGGAGGACAGACGGACAGAGGCCTGGGGTGCTGAGGAGACAGACGGCATCCTGGAGGGGACGTTCAGAGAGATAGGCCCTGGACAGCGTGGTGGCCACGTGTCCATGGTGCAGCTACGTTCAAGGGCTTGTCTGCTCGCAGACCAGCGTGACAGGCTCCCTGGCGCCCCTCAGCCTTCCTCTCCACCGGCAGGGCGGGGGCGGCCACAGGCACACACAGGGCCGGGGGATGACACGAGATCACGTGTGGGAGGGCAGCACGGGCTGGCACACGGCAGGGGCTCCGTGCGTGCGCGTCGGGACGGCGTGGACAGGAGCGCACTCCAAGGGGGGCGCGGAGCTCACCGCTTCTCCACAGACAGAATGGCCGTGCAGGCGTTCTGCAGCTTGTGAGCGAGGCGGGACAGGGTTTTAAACAGAGCGTCGGTTAGGTCATCGTCGTAAAACACTGTGGGGAAGGAAACGGGCATGAGGGGAAAACCCACCACCACGGGCAGATCTGCCCCTGAGAGGACCCCCGGCACTGCACTGAGTCCCTAGAAACGTGCCCCCGCGACGGTGCTCAGGCTGGAAACCGCAGGCGGGCACGGCAGGTGACTGGGGGCTGGGAGGGCTCTGCGGAGGAGGGGCGGGGGCACCGCTGCGACCAGGACGCCTCACCTTCGGCCGCAAGCAGGATGGTGGTGTGGCTGTACAGGTCAGAGACATCCTCCTGGGACCAGCTGAAGGGGACCTCCGGGTCTGTGAAAGAGGAGAGGCCACTCTGTGCACGGCCCTTCCCCCGTGGGCCAGCCGGGAGCGGCGGGCACCAGCAGGCAGGGCTGCACCCAGCAACGGCACGCGTGGCTGCCAGGGGTCTGCCTCCCCACCGAGGGACGGGCACTGCTGCCCTGTGAACTGCTGTGCGGCCCTGAGGAGGGTGCCTCCCCTCCCAGGGCATCACACAGGAGTGGGCGTTACTAGACGTGCCCTCAAGGGCGGCTGGGGAGCTCTGGGGCTATGGGCAGACCCTCGACACGCAATGACTCTCCCACCTGACACCTGATGGGAAAGGACACTTTGCACACAGCAGGCAGTTCACACAAGCATGTAGGTCTGACACAGCCCGGGTGATCAATTCAGAAAACTCCCCCACCGGGGGGCCCTGCCCTTAGGACAGGACAGAGTGCCGTGTGCGAGGCTGCTTCCCAGCCCTGGGCAGGTGCTCAGCCCTGAGCGCCAGGCCTCACCTGTAGCTCAGGGGCCACTGTGCCTACTGTAGGGGACGCACCCAGTCTGAGTGACAGAGTGGGTGGAAGGTGCCAGGAGCGGCCATCATCAGCCGACAGAGAGAAGTGGCTGTGGGCCGAGAGGCTGTGGCACAGCCGGGAGCCTGCAGCTCAGCCCAGGCCACAGGGAGCTAGGACAAGCAGCCGTGAGTCCGCTGGGACGGGGGTGGGGGGCGCACCTGTGCACAGGTCGTCGCGGAGCCAGTCCAGTTCTTTGACCTTAACCACACCGCCTGCAAGAGCAAAATCAGGCAGAACGTCCAGACTCTCGTAACAGTCGGGGAAGAAGATAAGCCTTCCCATCCTACGCTGAAATCCCTCCATCCAGCACGGATCCCTTGGCCAGCACGGAGCGCCAAGCATCAGGTCTGGCACTGGACACGGGGAATACAAAGGTGTATGAGACGTGTCCCTGTCCTCGGGGACCGGCAGCCCAGGAGAGACTGGCGGATGGGCACACACCAACAAGGCAGGGGTCAGGGCACTGTGATGAGGACAAGCCGAGCACAGGAGGGAGAGAGGAGCTCAGGTGTCAGGTGGGGGTGTCAGGGAAGGCTCCAAAGAAGGTGAGTCACACCTGCCCCTCCCCTTCCACCCTTGTTGACTAGGCATTCGACAAACAATGTGACGGGGATCAGGCAGGCCCCGTGGCCCAGCAGGGTGTCACCCAGTCACACACAGGTCAAAATGCAGTGGTTCAAGGAGAGGCCAGGCTCTGGTAGGGAGCTGGGACCTTGTCTGGAGGTCTGAGCATGATTAGGGGCAGCAGCACGAAGGCCAGGGGGGAGCCTCAGACAGGCCAGGGTGACCAGAATGGAGGGAGCCCTGAGAGGCAGGCATCGCAGACGGCAGGGCCAGACCCCAGCGAGATCCGGGACAAGCAGAGGGGTCCAGTGTGCACTCAGACAGCAGTGGAAGACCTGGAGGGCCTGAGGCCCGTGGGCTGGAGCGGCCGGAGAGTGGGAGAGCGCCCCCAGCTGCTCGGGAAGGGTCAGCACGTACAGTCAGGGGAGGGTGGCCGCTGCTTCCGTCACATGAACTGGATTCTGCAGGTGGTGTGGGGGGGGGGGGGGGGGGGGGGAGGACGACGGTCTGGGCAGAGGGAGGAACTTGTGACATGAGTGCTCTGCTTGCCAGTGAGGCAGTCAGTGGAAAAGGGAGGGGGAGCAGGCAGGGGCCAGACCACGAGGGCTGGGAGGCAGAGGGGCTCAGACTTCACCCTTGAAGCTTTTTCACAGGGGACTTAAGGGGTCAGGCTTCCATCATCACTCTAGATGCTTCCCGGAGGACACCTTGGGTGGGCCACACAAGGAGCTGGGAGACCAGGTGGGGGCCACCGTGATGTCCAGAAGGGAGTGAGCTGAAGCGGGACATGGCAGGGGATGTGGGGAGGAGGACAGGGCGCGACGACGGAGTCATCAGACGTGAAGCTCTGGGAAGCCAGGGCGGTGCCCAGAAGGGCAGTGGCCAGACCCCATCTCCCAGTGTCACAGTACAAGGTGCTTGTCCCACCTGCCAGAGAACCCTCCCCCCAGCTGGAAGACCCACCGGGCCTCACCTCCAGCAGCAGTCAGGTGGCCATTGAGGGCAATATTTCGCTGGCACATGGCCAGGAGATCTGCGCCGACATCTGGAACAACAGAACGGCAGGCCATAAGACCCCAGCCGTCACCACACTGTCATCCCCCGGTTTCTGCCTGGAGAGAGCTGGGACGACAGCATGACTGCAGAGAGGCACCAGACGAAGAGGAGAGCGTCTCCCGTGTGCGCACTGCCACGGTTCAGTGTGCTCCCCTGGAGGCTCTTCTCGATGACCTTTCCCTTAGGGAAGAGTTGACGGTGCTGGTGGGGACGGACTCTGTGCGCGCTCCAGAGGGAAGGGGTGAGGGCTCGCAGTGCGGTTAGCGCGTGTGACACAGACGCGGGTGTTTGGATGCGACGAATTGAGACACACAGCGGGTTCCAACGAGCCGTGGGTGCCCTCCCGTGCATGACTCGCCGTCACGGCCGCGTGCGTCCCGGGCCTCCCACTGCTCTGACCAGGTTGTGTCTCTCACCATTTCAGCAGAACCCAGGCACAGTCAGTGCATCCATCCCTGATGGGCACGGGGTGTGGGCATTTTACCAAAACTTACCAAAACCCCTAACATGCGTCAGGAGAACGCACGTGTGGAAGGCACCGAAGGCCGTGTGGTGACGCCTGCCTGGCCTACGGCTGTGGACGCCCAGACTCTGTCCCATCACTCACTATGGACTCAAGGAACGCGCAGAGCCTGGTTGTGGGGGAAGTGCCCTGCTCAGCACAGGGACACATCTGTCCCTTTCCGTGGGCCACGGGCTCAAGGGACTACTGCACACACCAGTCCAGCAGCTTGTCAGTGTTTAGGGCAGTTCTTGTCCAAATAGATCTCGTGTGGGATTCTGACACAGTAAATGGGACAGAAGAGAGCAGCTTTGGCCGAGGGGGCGTGGTGGTAGACCAGAGGCCTGGGGCTGGCCCCCAATTACCCCTCTGCCAGCTGCTGAGGGAGCTCTCACAACTCTGCTCCGTGGAAAACTCTGTTCCATGAACCACCGGCGCCCTCCCCACGCCCCACATGACAGTAGCTGTGTGTATGACCTGGGGCCAGCCACCCGACCTTAGCCTTAGTCTGCCCACCTGGACAGACTGGTGCTCGGCTCCCTGGCGAATGCCCGGGCTCACTGTGAAGGTACAAACAGGTGCAGAAGCACGCGAGAGGCCGTGCAAACTGCAGCGTGCTGTCTAGAGGCAAGCTCTCTTCTCTGTGCCAGGAAACCTCCCTCTCAGGGGTAAGACAGCTTGGTCACGTCCTGCAGTTGGGCACCAGGCACAGGGCAGAGCACCCGCGAGTGGCATTATGGCCTGACTCTGAGAAGCGCTCGCTGGCAACCGACACGAGACAGTGATGGAGCAAAGGCGGGGGCTGCCCTGCGGACTCCCGGCAGTGGCTGATGCAGAGTATCTGCCAGGCGTACCCTGTCCCGGGCGACCCCCAACCTCCCTTTCCTGTCTCAGAAGCAAAAGATGGGCACCATGAGCAGGTGGCCAGGCGTCAACGAGATGCAGACCACAGCAGCAGATGCCCCTTCCCGCCTAGCAGATGTGGAAGATGTCAGGCACAGCGACACTAGCTGATGAGCTACTGCTCTCTTACGAACTGGTTCCCACTCTCTGAAAGGGTGTGTGGGCCAGCGGGGAGCCGAGAGCGCTGCTCCCGCGTCGAGCTGCCGGCGTCATCGCCGAACTATGGTTAAGTAAGACGTCATCACTGCGGGGAGGGGAGTGAGGGCTACACGGCATTTGCTGTAATATTTTCGCAGTTTCCATGCCAGTATAATATTATTGCAAGATAAAACACTGAAAGAGAAATCCCTTGGCAATGTGTAGCAAAAGCTTATAAAGGGTCACGGCTGCTTCTAGGAGTCCAGCCTGAGGACTATGAGACAACGGGGCACAAACGCGCTCACCACGGTGCAACGGACAACTGTGAAAAACACAAACAAACAAAAAAGACCAAAACGCATGGCAACCACCAAAATGCCCAGAGATAAATATTACCTGGTCATTAAAAGTCATACTTATAAATAATTTCTAATGACTTTGGAAAATGCTCTTGGAAAAACGTTTTTCAAAATTTTTGGCAACACACAGCACAGAATATCCAGTCTGATCTCAGCTACTGGGAGTCTGATCTCAGTCTGGGAGTAGGTACGCTCCAAACAAACAAACAAACAAACAAACAAACAAACAAAAAAACCACGAGGGAAAAAACTGTGTAATGATCGCAAAGCTCCTTGCAGACAGCAACTTCATCTGTTCTATTCGCTCCTGGATCTCCTGCATCTAAGACCGTGTCTGGCATATCGCCGGCCAGAGCTCCATAAATTGCACACTGTTGAATGGATCTGGGGTTGGTAACAAAATGAGTAAATTGTATCTGCTGCCCTAGAAACCTTCCACAACAAGTAGGCAAGATTTCTACAACTGGGAAAAAAAGCGATAAACCCGTTTTCAAGCCTTATAAAAGGCATGCTCCTTGCGGTTTTCTGAGACGTCTGCTCTTTCCCAGGGTGATAGGGTGTGAGAGGAGGTTTCAGGGGGGTAGCTGGTGCCTCCTGGAGTGAGGGGTCCTGCACTGTGGGTGTGGCCGGAGAAAGCAGCAGAACGGGATGGCAAAATCAACAGCGGCCAAGGCCCAATTCCCAGCCGCTCCTCCCTTTCTGATAGCACACTCCCTGCGAAGACACGACGTCCCCACAGCCCGAGGTGGCGGGCTTACCTGTACAATATACCGTGCGTGCCACAGTGGCTGCAATGATGCTGGCCAGCCCTGTGCCCGCCCCGAGCTCCAGCACGGTGCGGCCCTGGAAGAGGTCCCGCTGAAAGAGGATGTAGTCTGCCAGGAGCAGGGCACCCCGCCACACCTGGAGGAGACACGGACCAGGAATGACAGGTGACGTGAGGCTCCGGGGAGACCCCACAGGGCCACAGGAAGTGGATGGGGCCTACCCACCTGCTTGCCAACATCCTCCAGGGGGGTGGCCATGGTGTGCTCTGGACAGGATGGAGACCAAAAGAGAAAGGGCCACTGTGAAAATGCAGACGGACAGAACACAGACAGACGAGGTGCATGGCATCTGCAAACACGGCCAGATGGGCACTGAAGTCGGGTGTGCTAGAGAGTGGCAGAAACACAGGCCACACAGCAGTCGGGGCGGAAGCGGGTGGGTGAGCGTCACTCACAGTGCAGGCCCTGAGGCTGCTCAGAAAACCGGGTGTCTCGGACCCACAGCCTGAAGACTAGGGTCACCGTGGGTCGTGGGCCCACCTCGTCCAACACGCACACGGCACTTCATGATGCTCGATAACTGCATGTTACATTACAACATACTCCTGTTGTCCTGATCAACTGTATGCTGGTAGGAGTCATAACACATTCCAAGTATTTTTTAAAAAATTTTTTTTAACATTTATTTATTTTTGAGAC